CACTTTGCATAAGTTTTGAAAATGAGAAGTATAAGTCCTCCAACTTTGTTCTTCCTTTTCATGATTATTTTGGCTCTTCTGGGTCCTTTGAATTTCCATGTGAATTTTAGGATGAGCCTGTCAATTTCCGCAAAGGTGTCAGCTAGGATTTTGACAAAGATTGCTGTAGTAGTGCCATCTTAGCAATATTAAGTCCTCTGATCACACGAACATGGAATGTCTTTCCATTTATTTAATTTTCTTTAATTTCTTTCAACAATATTTTGTAGTTTTTAGAGAGAAGTTTTTCATGTCTTTTGTTAAATTTTTCCTAAGGATTTTATCCTTTTGGATGTTACAATAAATGGATTTGTTTTCTCTCTGTCTCTTTTTTGATTTGTTTTCTTAATTTAATTTCTGGATTGTTCATTGCTACAGTACTGAAGTACAATTGATTTTTATATATTGATCTTGTATCCTGTGAATGAGTCTATTTGTTGTAGTAGTTTTTTAGTGGATTACTTAAAATTTTATGCATACAGGATCATGTCATCTGCAAATAGAGATAGTTTTACAACCCCCTTTCCAATCTGGATGACTTAAATTTTCTTGCCTACTTGCCCAGGCTAGAACATCCAGTACAATGTTGAATAGAGGTGTTGAGAGTGGAGAGTCTGTCTTATTCCTGATCTTATGGGAAAGCATCTAGTCTTCTACCATTAAGTATGCTGGCTGTGGGTTTTTCAGAGATGCCCTTTATCAGGTTGAGGACATTCTCTTCTGTTTTTAGTTTAGTTTAGTTTTTTTCATGAAGGGATATAAAGTTTTGTCAAATGTTTTTTCTGCACCTATTGAGATAATTGTGTGTCCTTTCTCCTATTTATATAGGTATTACATTAATTGATTTTCAGATTTTCAACCAATCTTACATTCTTGGGATAAGTTCCAGTTGGTCATGGTGTACAATTCTTTATATATGTTGTTGGATTCTGTTTGCTAGTATTTTGTTGAGGATTTTTGCATGTATATTCATAAGAGATATTAGTCTGTAGTTTTCTTTTCTTGTGATGTCTTTAGTTTCAGTACCATGGCAATACTGGCCTCATAAAATGAATTGGGAAGTGTTCCTTCCTTCCTCTTCTGTTTTTCCATTTACTCTTTAACCCACTCAATCTGGTAACTAGAGTATATCTTGTCAAGGCCATCAATGACCTCCATGTTGCCAGATCCAGCAAACACTTAGTTTCAGACCTTGTCAAATCAGGCCCTTCAGCAGAATTCACTTGAATGTGAACTTCATTAGGGCAGGCACCATGACTTTCATCTTTCACATTTGTGGTTATAATCACAGCACCCAGTGCTTGGTACATAACAGGTGTTCAATACCTATTTGTGGAAAAGAGTGAATGAATGGTTTGTGGAAATGGAGGTCAGGCATACATCTTCATAGAAGCCAAGAAGAGACAGTGCTCTGAGGAACGAAAGCAAGGTGACAGGGGGGAGACAATTCTTTTGAGAAGTCTGTCTATGCAGGGGATGAGAGAGATAGGTATTTTCAGGAGGCTGAAGTGGAGATGAAGGAGTTGTATTATTTTAAGATGTTATTTTAAGACGTGAGTAGGTTTAACTGCTAATGAGAAGGATCCATCATTCATCTATGTTAGAGTAGGAGTGTGCATTGGAATCACCTAGAAGGCTTGTTAAAACACAGATTGCTGGGGCTGCACTTCTAGAATGTCTGATATAGGTGTCTGGGATGTGGCTGGTAATTTGTATTTCTAGCAAGTTCTCAGAGAATGCTGATGCTGCTGGAACCACACTTTGAGAAACACTGAGATACAAGTTGGAGAAGATTGGACGGGAGGCTCCAGAGTCCAGATGGCGAGATTTGCCCTAGGTAGGAGGAGGACCACTATTGCACAGGAAGGAGAAAAAGGAGATGGGTGCAAACCCAGGTAGGCTTAAAGGCTTGGGAGCAGGAAGTTGTCAAAACTTCCCTTCTGATGCATCCTGTTCTCTTTGAGAGGTAGGGATTGAGGTCATCTCTTAAGAGTTGGGAAGGAGAATGTAGGGCAGGGTTAGAAGTCAGGGGAGAGTAGAGAGGTTTGTATGACCCTTGCCGGGAGTGAGAGAGCAGCATGACAAGAGACACGTAATAATACTGCTGACAAAGCCGAGGTTGGCAGTCCTACACCAATATTGGTACCTATCTGCTCTGTTACATCATTCAAGTTACTGATAAAAATTGTACCAGATGAATGAATAAGGTTCCAGGGCAATCAGATCATCCCAGAGGTTGGTACCCTAAAAATATCTCAAACTAACTAAGCCTGACTCTCCAGCTGTGTAAGACACACAACCAGGATGGACATAGTATGACACAGAATTGCCTCTAACCAAACCCAGAAAGATTCTTCTATATCATCCTTGTTCCTGAAGATCTATAGTGACAGATGTTTTATCATATCCCTCCCTGCTAGTGTGTTTTTGTATGTGTTTATTGGCACTAAATTTACATTGTGCTCACTTACAATCAACGTTTTTAAAAAAAGGGCATTATTCTACATTGAGATACTAAAAAATTTCTGTGTAAGAAAGATGAGATACAGAAGTATGAATCTTTGCTTTAATCTACTCACTCCTCTCTGTTCTGTCCACTTTTTGACCCCATGGAAAGAACTACTGCTTGCTCAGATTCCAGTCTCCGGCACATCATTTTGAGTTAAGTTGGCCACCAGGAACCAAAAGTAACAAGAAAGGAAGAAAACTGGAACTGTAATTTAGCACTGCACAAATAAACATGCTCTCTGCTGGTTGTGGTAAAGGTTAGGAGAGTTGGAATCTGGCAGGCTGTCAAGTGGAGGACGCTTCTGAACTGTAGGAAGCTGAACAAATAGAGAGTCTAGGCACTGAAAAGCCGTGGGCACAACTAAACCCAGGCTTCCACCTGGGAAACCATAACTAGCTAAAGTGACAGAGCATGGTGACAGTGCTCTTCAAAGAATCTCAAGGAGAATAGTGTAGTTTAAAACAGTATTAGGGCCATGTGAAATACATGTTAATCTTATTAGTATTGGTTTCTTTACTTTTAATAATGACATCTACTGGAGATGGAAATGGAAAGAGAAGATGATGTAAATAATGTGACATCTGACTCAAGAATCCAAGCAGTGTAGGGATTACATACACATACACCTCCATACAGACATTCAGATTCAGATAGAGAAGGCTGATGATCTGACAGTTAATAAATGATGAAATACTTTCATGCTGGTTGGTGAAGAGCTGCTGTCCTGAGCTCCTCAAGTGCCCCTTGCTGCCTCAGCATCCCCTCACATTACAGCAGATAAGGGGTTAATACCAGCAGTGGGCCTCTGGGACTCCTAACCTCCACATTAAGGTCTCCACTTGGATTGGAGATCTGTGTATCTCCAATCCACTTGGATTGGATTGATCTATGTATATAGATCATACTAGATTGGTTGCTAAATGTCTTGATATCACCCATGTATATAGATGTATGTTGCGTAGAACTACCTGCATATTATGAATTATCTGATGAAGAATTATCTGCCTCAGGATCACCTGGCCCACTTGTCAAAAATGTAAATGCTCACTGCATCTCCGGGACTGGGCAAGGATATATGTTTTAAACCATCCCCCAGGTGATTCTAGAGCATCATGTCAAATATAGTCTGCATTTCCAAGCATGGAGCAAATCTGTCTGTCCTGTATTCCATCTAGAGGCCAAGTTGTTGGAAGAGAGGGTCCTAAGTCCTAACACTATGCTTAGCTTAGTGCTGTTGACAGATAATAAAGAGTTAGGATCATTGATTCAGAAGTACATATTGAAAGGATAAATTAGGCCTGATGATGATATGATGACAAGACGATGGTAATCCTGGTGAGTACCAGGTACTATAATAAGTGGCTTAGATGCATCATCTAATTGTATCCTCTCAATGACCCGAATAGGTACTGTTATTATCTCCATTTTATAATGAGGAAGCTGAGACTCAGGATCTCGTCGTTGGGAAGAAGCAGGACTCCAACCTTGGTCTTTCCGATTTCAAAACCTACTCTTTCTTATTCACTAAGCTGTACTGGCTCTTAGATTAGAAAACAATTCAACAGGCAATTTATAAATCAGATTCTTTGGAGTTAATCTCTTCAGTTTCTTTTTGTTTCAATTTCTTTGTGGCATTTTGTCAACTATGCGGAGGGAAGGTAGGCATGGAAGATGAAGAGATTGCAAAAGCTATATTCTCTGCCTTGAAGAAACCAAGGTGAAGGAAATTGAATATAGAAAGTAGAAGGTATATATAAATAACCCCCAATACTTAAGAACCACTGGAAACCTTTAAGCTAAATGAAAATACAATAAAATAATAAAGTACTAACTGACAAAAAAAAAATTAGAACATTGCAGCTGTCATTGGACCTTGAAAATTGGGTTAAGAAGAGAAAAAGATTTTGAGGTTATAGCTAGAAATCTAGTAACAAGGAAAGGGAATCAAGACAAGAACTCATTGTCGAGAAATAACAAGGGCGACTGTGATTTTAAAAAGATCATCAAGGGCCAGCTGATGCCTGGATGTGACAATGGGCAAGGCAAACAGTCAGGACATGGAGAAGTTAAGGCAGCTCATAAGAGGGAGTGGATTGGAAGGATAACTGAGCTTTATATGCATTCAGGTTTGTTTTGAAGTATCCTTCCTGGAAGCTGGGATTAATGAGATCACAGAGTATTATAATTTGATTCCGGTTAAAGCATCCTTATGTACTGAACTTAATGAGGAATGGCTAATTAACATCTTTCGAACTTAGGGAAAAAAAGGAATATACATCAGAATTGTCTTTTCAAGGCAAAAACAAACAAAATCAAAGCCTGGATAAATGGAATCAAAGAGCTTATTCAGATTTTAGTAGATCAATCTCAGTGCTTTCCTTTAGATACAATAACTTTCTAATCATCCTTGATTCCTTCATGACACATGGGGAAGACTAGATTTTATTCTTACTGGGATCTGGGCAAAATCCCCACTTCTCATCTCTTTCGTATCGGCTGGTCGTGGCACACCACAGCAAGTTGTCTTCCCGCCCTTCCCGGGTACATTCATGATGCCACTGCCGGTTATACTGGAAGGGAAACATGCACGGTGTCCCGTGGGCGTTCCCTTTGATTGTATACAAATCTAGGAGAAAGAAAAGGACAAAGTCAAATAAGTAGTATGTCAGCTTTATCTTTGGAAACTGTCATAAAGTGAATGCATTTTTTATTGACTGAAAACCTACACTGGGCAAGGCCCTCGCTTTACCACAGTGAACCCTCAGGACTTCAGTGTCTAGTGTATGGAAAAGTGCAAGGCTGAGTGCTGTGTTCAGGGGAAATGCTGATAAATGGTTTGTTTGTATGTTTATCTCCTTGTTTATTCACTATGGTGCACTGCTACAGTAGCATACATATTTGTGAATGGATGAGAAGAAAAAATTTATCTATTTATTATTATTATTTTCATTTAACTATAGTTGATTTACAGTATTGTGTTAGTTTCAGGTATACAGCTTCAGATTCTTTTCCATTATTGGTTATTTCAAGATATTGTAATGTAGTTGGAGATTTCACTTTAAGATATCTTCCAGTTCCCAAATACATCAGCCATCAGCATCTGAAGCTCGAGGTTCATAGGCATTTATTAATTTATTCATTCAGCAGACATCTGTTGAGCATTTAATGTGTCCAGCACTGGGTATATGATGTAATAGTGAACAAATGAGTAAAAGTTGGCTTTCATATGGAGCTTCTGTTCTAGTGGGGAGAAAAAAAGAGAAGGCAAATATACAAGTAAACATGTAATTTCAGGTAGTGATAAGCACCATGAAGAAAAACAAAATGCTGTAAGAACAGAATGTGTCTCTGTGTGTGTGTGTGTGTGTGTGTGTGTGTGTGTGTGTGTGTGAAGGGGTGGAGGCACTATTTTTGATAAGGTGGTCAGGGAAGGCTTCTCTGAATAAGAGCTGGGGGAAGAGGTTTAAGTCTTTGGAAGAGAGTTCTTGGGGCATAAGAAGCAGCAAGTACCGGGGAGCACGAGGGACCTGCGACAAGAACTGTGCGGGGCGGACGGGGAAGCGCAGGGAGGCCCCGTGCGAGGCAGAACCAGGAAGGCACTGGAGCGTCAGCTCACAGAGGGCCGGTTCTGCCACATCATGGGCTTTGACCTTTACCCTGGAGGTGGTGGGAAGTCATCAGTGGGTTTTGAATGGGAAAGTCACATGATCTGATTTTTAAAGACTCACGGGGTGCACAGTGGCAAACAGAATGTACACAGAGAGAGGGCAAAGTGGATGCCCGGCTGGAGGCCCCTGCAGTGGTCTAGGAGAAAAATGGCCCTGCTGAGTGGCCGGCTGGCTGCTCCCTCAGAATATTTCAATGATCAGTCATCCTTGGCCTTAAGCAGGAAACAACAACTTTTCATGACTCAGCTGGGGCTTTCTATAGTGAGGGGGATCAGGGCCACCCTCAATTAAATCAGTAGGTCCTGGAGCGAAGGGGCTGGCTGTGGAGATTCCCACCCTCTCCCACAGCTGGTGGGGGGCGGGTGTTGCCTGAGCTCACTCCACACCACCAGCCCTAGAGGTTGAGGCTGTTAGGAACTACTGGTATACCAGGACACATCCTCTTGTTTCCTTCCTCTGCCTTCTACTCAGTCTTCCTCTGCATGCATCGTGAGTATGGGCATATGGCTAAAATGTTAACCTGGAACAAAATGCCAAGTTCTTCCTTAGAACTGTAGATTATTCAGGGTACTGGTGGGCAGCACTTGCTTTATTGTAGTGAGTCCTGAAAATGGCTTGCTCTTGGCTGTCTCTCTTTACTCATTTCTTGCAGGTACGGGAGAAAGTCTTGCTTTAGATCTCGGTAGCTCCTTGCTCTGTTTCCTAGCATTCTTAGAAATAGAAGCTCTTAGTAAGCCATAATTCTACACAGCACCACGAGGGCAGGGACCACACCTGTCTTGTTGGCCTTTGTAAATCAGATGCCCGGCACAGAAACAGTCAGCGTTCAATGAATGCGTGATGGACGGTGAATGGGTGGATGAATGAATGAAAAGAACTACAAAACAAAACCTGACAAACAGCTTTGAGGTTTCAGAATTTCAGAACTAAGCTGCTTTCTTTCTCTATTTAAAAATACCAAATATCACAGAACTATGGAAAATGAAAACACCTCCCCCTACCCGCCACCAAAACCGTGCTTTCCTACTCCCTGGCACACAACAAATAACCCCTGACAATAGTCTGCCTTTAAATGCCTTGTAACACGGGACTTCCCTGGTGGTCCAGTGCTTAAGACTTCGCCTTCCAAGGCAGCGGATGTGGGTTTGATCCCTGGTCGGGGAGCTAAGATCCCACAGGCCTTGGGCCCAAAACACCAAAACATGAGACAGAAGCAATACTGTAACAAATTCAATACAGACTTTAAAAATGGTCCACATCAAAAATCTTTTAAAAAATAAATTAATTAAATAAATGCCTTGTAACATGACCAGCACACGGATGCCAGCCAGGCCTTAGGAGGCACTGAGGTGCCCTGCAGACACACTCCACACATGGGACAAAGTTTCTACAATAAAAGAAATATTGACAGGAGAGGATCTTATTTTCATCCTGAAAGTCTAACTTCAAAAAATCTTTTCCTTCTATTTTTATTTTCTTTCTCCCTCATCCTCCTGTTCTTTCTCCTTTCCATTGATTCCCAAAGTTACTTAAGTGTTTTCTCCTCTAATACCTTTAAATTCGCAGTTCTGCTTCTTTAGCAGAATTTAGCAAGCCCATTCCAAGACTCCAGTAATCCTTTTACAATAAGCGAGTAAGCAACTAAATTGTATTTAGCAGAAGTGCCTGGAGGTTCTAGGTGCTGTGCACCTCTTTCATATATTTTACAAATCTTTACTTATGGGCAAACTTGCTAAACATATCATTTCATACATACTTTGGTTGAAATTCTTTTTTACCTTTGTGCAGATATTCACAAATGCCTCCACCGCCTGACATATAGGAAACCCACTTATGAAGATATTTCCAGGAGGCCACAAGCGTGTTGTCGTGCTTCACCTGGACCATGTACTGGAGCGGGCCGGTGATCATCTTCCTGTTACAGCGCCACTTCAAGGAAATGTGGGTGGAATCACACTCGTATATGCTCAGTGGCTGCTCTGGATTAGACACATTCAGACCTAGGCAGCCGCTGCCTCCGATGTTAAAGAGGCGGTGGTTTGAAGCCCACTTCCACAGCATGTACTTGTTGGGTGGTTTGCAACTCTCCAGGGTCAGTGTAGATTTGCCAGCTTGAATGCATTTCTCGAGGTTCTCACTTTGGATAATGAAGATCCCTTTATCTGAAACAGCAAAATAGAAGATATGGTATAGAATCTTCATATATAATTAACCAGTGTCGGGAGGATCCCAATGTGCATGTCTGAGCTGTGATATGTCACACTGACAGCTGTCGCAAACAGATCTGAAGTTGATGTGTGGGGTCCACCGCAGGGGCTTGATTTGCACAAACCAAAGAAGTTTCTTGGGAAGCATACATGGACTTATTAGAGCTAATGGAAAACCTCTGGTCTACGACAGCATTGGCCCTCCAGTAACAAGGGATGCTTGTGAATCCATTCCGGAATGGTACTGATAGAGAAGGAGCTCGCCACAGCTGAAGAGAGAGTGGGAATTGGTGATAATACTCAGTGCTGCAAGGAAGAGACATTGGGTGCCCAGAGGCATGGTGACGCTTTGGTTTTCTTCAGACAAGTGCCTGAATGTTAGGAATATGGCAGCTGAATCAAGAGCCACTGAAATGAAAATTTCCACCATCAAATTTCAGTAGAAAACCTAAAGGATAGAAGTCAAGGGCTGCTTTGTGTCTTGATATAAGACGCAATGCTGGTGAGAAAAAAATGCTTCTCCACATTTGTTTTCTGTGCTGGGTCTATCAGGTATAGAAGGATGGGGACATACGCTATGGGGATGGCCTCTTCCTGGGAGCATCCTTGTTGGGCAACAGCAGACAGATGTCCGGGACACTAGGTGAGGCCCCTCACCTAGGTACATGAGGTTACAAGAGCACTATGACAGGATTGAAACCACACAGGCCACGTGGGAATGCGGAGGAAGTAGGCATTTTGTGATATACCACTGAGCCTCTAATCTTCGGGAGCCAGAAGAAGAGATTTCGGTGAGTTTCCTTTGGAAAAGCTGGCAGGGCCCAGGCAGGACTTAGTGGTATCTACCTGCCCACTACCTGACTTTATCTCAAGTCACTATTACACAACAGTTATGAACATGTCCTCCCACAGGGTTTTTGAAGGTGGAAATCATGTCTGATTTCTTTTGTCCAAGTTCAGAGTGTCCTGAGCACATCGTGGAAGTTCAGTAAATGTTTGATGTTGATTAAACACGCTGGCAGCTGCTGCTTACTTAGGCTCATGGTTGCTGGGTTACTCAGCTCAGACTGTCTGGTCAGGTCCAAGAGCTCTTTTGTTCTCCTATTCACTAGGCTCTGCTCTCACATCTTACTTCCTGTCCATGCTTCAAAAATCTAAAGGGACATTATCAGGTTCCCTTAAAACGGCTGTGATTTAGGGCCAGGCACGTGCGGTGGCAGGGGCATAGTGGACACAGGCAGAGCCTTCTAGAGATTGGGAACACTGCAGAATGAGCGTCCTCATGCACTGGAATGTTTCATTTTGGTAAAGGTTCTTTTTGTTTTTCTAAAGTTGCTCAGGCCAAGAAGAAGTGATTTACAATAACCAAAATCACTTAAGACACTGTTGAAAAAAGATTGTCAGTGTATTAATGGAAGCTATACTTCATGTAATAATTGATAACCTTATTTATAACCATATATTTGAGGAGTTGAAATAGTTGTCAGAAAATTGCTTTGATCACCATACATCAGAACAAAAGAGAAAGGAGTTGGGGCAGGGGGCAGAGAATGAACTGTTTTAGGGAGATTTCATTTAGATCAGGAAATTTGTTTTCCTAATGAAGCCCATGTCTGTGTAGTTATTAGTACAGTCATTCAAGATCAAATCTACCTCTCGCCAATGCAGTGTGGACTCTGATAATTATTAACCTTCTCTCCAGCTCTCCTATTCACCTTTTCATGCCTGGGTAGAATGTTAACCTTAATTTCTGTTGTAATCTACTAATAACTTTCTAGCTAGCCCGGAGTCCCATTAATTTTTCACTAAAGGATAATTATTTTACTATAATTTTTCTGTAGTTTAGCTTCTATCTAATATATATGTTCAAATATATCCAGCTCTGCAACTCACTGGCTGTACCATAGCCCTCTGGGCCTCAGTTCATACAACTAAGATAGGTGGGTAGACTACCTGGCTGGTGGTTGAGAGCTCTGGAATCAGGCAGATCCACCACAGAGCAGACTTGTAACTTTGGGCAAATTTCTCGATCTCTGTGAACCTTGCCTTTCCTCTTTGAACTAGGAATATGTATGATACTCACCTCATAGGGATGTTAAGGGCATTCCATTAAATAACCCTTGCAAAGCACAACATGCACTACCATGGCACGGGAAGACCTCAGTAAATGTGAGTTGTTGTTATTATTGTCATTACCATCTTTCTGGCTTCCTGATTCTTAGTCTGCAGATCCAGCCGTAGGTCTGGTTGAACACCTGTGCAGTACTAATTTGAGCATACCCCCAAAGACTTGTAACATTAGCACAAAAGCTCATTTTTACTTTAGATTCTGCAGCACATAGTAGGTGTAGACTTTTTAAACAATCCAGAAATACCATGCTATCACCTTTCGTGGAGGAAAAATATTCCTCAAATAACCAGGTGACAAAATCTTTGTCTCATTTGTTCAAATACATGTGTGATTATGAATTGAGTCTTCACCTATTCATCTTCCACACTGTCAACCTGTAAAGTCTATAGTGTAGCTCTCTTACAAGAAAGAGAGAAATGCTTGATGTTGACCAGCAGTGTATGGATGGGTAAATGAGTGGTCTGTAAGTAAATGGACATGGAAATTATAAATCACTAAAATTTGAGGTGAATAAATAATGTTTTAAAATGTCCAAATTATTAAGTGTTAAGAGAAAAGGAGTGGTAGAATCAGAGCTTTTGTAGTTCTACCACTGGTCGTAAAAACACCTTTCCATAGCAGAAGATATTAGACAAACTTAATTCCCTGCTGCTCAATTTTAGGGTGCTATCATATTTCTAAGCCCAGCTGCCTTTAGGATGTGGCTTTGGAAAAGTTCCTCAGAATGTATCATAAACAAGTAGCTCTGGCTTACCAATAACAATAAACATGCCATCACCAAAAGAATAATATGTCACACTAAGCTAAAAAACGGCCCAATCCCATTTTCCCATTAAGCTATAATAGAATCTGGTCCTAGCACCATTAATCTCCATAAATTCACTGAAGAGAAAACAACAGTTTTCAAATAGACTAGGAGGAAACCCAATATAGGTATCAATATTTGGATTATCATTATATGTGTATATGAGTCATCTCTAACAAACACATAATATGAAAATAAGCCACCAATCCTTAGTGTCTGTAGACAGATTTCAAAAAGGATGAAGATCAAATGTGTGAGGAATCAAGATTGATTATATATGTCAAGGACATCAGTTCTGCTTGAACACTGATTAAGTGATTAATGAAGTGCTGCCAGAATTACTAAATCTCTTTGCAGTAAAATGCTATTACGCTTCCCTTCATAATTGTAAGTTTAGGAGGAGAAAAAGGATTGAGTTACTAGAAGTAACTTATAAACTAATTTTCATCCTTAAAGAATAAAATAAAATCCATAGAAGATAGGGGCTCTACTTTCTACTTCTGAGTTCCCTTCAAGACAAGATCATTTTAGATCCACCCTTTGGCCTCACAAGATGACATGTATTTCTAAGGAATGGAAGGAGAATTTCTTTATTCATTTATTTATTTATTCATTCATTGAACAAGCATTCACTGGTTGCTGACTATGTGGAAGGCACTGTGTAGGGTACCAGAGATAGAGGAATCATTTATCTAAATATCTGTTCTTTAAAACTATATCTATCCGTTCTGGAATCATGGGAAGTCTCCTAGTTAACGAAAAGAAGGGAGTTCCATCAGTTCCAAAGAAAACATTGTAACTGCACTTAAAATAAGCCCTTAAAAACAAGTGATGAAAGATAAGAAAAAGAAAATAGACTAGAATGTAAAACACTTGACCGGATCTTCAAGTGATGTCATGTGTGAGGTGGACATGGCGCCTCAGTGTCATCAGACCTTTCTAGGTGGAGAGAGAGAGAGAGAGTGTGTGTGTGTGTGTGTGTGTGTGTGTGTTTGTGTGTGTGTGTGTGTGTGTGTGCACGTACCGGCCCATTTTCCGGGGAGGAGACAGAAGAAGAGCACTGGAAGGAACATGGACATGGCACAGGAGACTACCTACCCATACACCCAGAACCATGAACTTCAGCGCCGGATGGGACTGTAAAGCTCATTTAACTGAATCATTCTTATACATTTTTTTCCCCAAATCCATTGTTTTCTTAGAAGTTTTATACTGATATACTTAGTGAAAACCATATAGGTCTAACTCTATTTACATCCATTCATTTATAACCTAGAAAGCAGAAAATGAGCTGCTGTAGATTGTTGCCAAATAATTTGAAGTGGGAGACTTGAAATTTCAAATAAACATTAATTGAGCACCTAATATGATGGTGTGTTAGGAGCCCTGCAGATAGAAGGATATATGTGCCATAGTGTTTGCCCTCAAGGAACTGAAGTTCTCCCTGGGGGTACATCATGAAGTGTACAGGAAGAACTATAACTTAATGCCAAAATACATATTGACGTAAGAGGTATAAGCACAATAAGGTGGAAGGCAGGAGTTAGAAGGGGTCACTTTGGCCTAGAAGATCTGAGAAATCAATCAATCAGTCACTCTCTCACAAGAACACACACACACACACACTTCCATTCAACAAACATTTGATAGGGACCTAATATTTGTGGCACATGGAGGTACATGGGTGAACTAGACCAGCATGGGTGCCTGTCCTCATTACAGAGGGAGAGTTCAGGTAGTGCAGGAGGTATAGACAGAGAGGTGAAGGGTTGGGCTAGGGGGCACTGTGGACAGGGCAAAAGTCATCAAAACACAGAGGTGATGAAAATAATTAGCCCTAGGGTGACAAGAGCCTCACTATCTAAAAGCGTTTGGTGGTTGTAGAATATAAAGTTGGAAAGAGGTGGTTTGGGGCCATTTTATGAAGAGCTTAAATTTTATTCAAAAATTTGTATATTATTCAGATAAAGGGAATTTTTGGAACAAGAGAAGGCATGACTGAGGCTGTGGTGTGGAAGA